TTTGTCGGCGCAGCTCCTCGATTTCGGCTGGATCAACCGCCATTGTGTTCGAACAGTTGGTTGCGCTCCAGGTTCCAGCTGGATTTTGTGGTCCTCAGGTCTCTCCGGTGGCAGTCCAGGTGGCAGGTCGTCGGGGAAGATTTCCGGTACCTCCGAATCAGCTCCGCTAAATCCGGTGGTACAGCTGCACACAGCTTCTCGATGTCCTTTCCTTCGGTGTCGACTGCCAACTCACGTAAACAAACAGCGAACAGCTGCGCGTTCTGTTGAAGTGGCGGGCTATCGTGATGGCTTTGACGCACGGGGCTTGGATGTAGATAGGTGTCCATGCAGGAAGCGTAATTAGCCCCTCGTGCTTGCTGACGCTGCACGTTCCCGTTGTCCAGTCGATGACGGGGTTGTGCCGTCGCAGCCCATCGCGTCCCAGCAGTACATCGCAGCCATCCAGCGTTGTCGCGAGGAACTTCATGCTGAAGCCGAAATCGTCGCCGCATTCGATCCTGACCGTCCGTGTTTCTTCCGTTATCGCCAGAGGCGTCCCATCCACGAGGCGAGCGTCGATTTCGGGCAGACACCTGTCAAGTTGCAGCTTGCATTTTTTCGCTCGCCAAATTGAAGAGGCTATGACTGGCCCCTCCATCGACGAACATTTTCAAGTTATGTTTCACACCTTACCGGCGACCAGCACAGGGTGATCCACATGATTATCCCCGTTATTCGGCCGAGTGCGATCGATTGTATGAATCGGAACCACGACTCGGTGGGGATGGTGGGGTTCGGGCGACGAAGCACAGTCAGTAAAGGGCCCGCTAATTACTGACTCTTCCCATTTCCATGCTCCTTCCTGTCGTTCCCCGTCAGCGGAGTTTTCTCGTGGCAATCTTTCATGTAGTGACCCCGTCTTCCCACACCGAAACACGGTCCCTTAGGAGGGCGGTCAGGTGTATGGACGGCGTTGATCGTGGTCCGATAGGTCTGGCCACGAAAACGGTTTCCCCTCCCGGAAGCTGCTCTCGCGTACTGCATCAGCGCATCTGTGGACTCCGCCAACTGTACGGCTGCAAGAAATGTCGTCGGACGGCTCCTGCGAACCTCGTACTGTATCTCGTATTTGAGGCCGCTGATGTATTTATCCAACCGTTCAGCTTCCGACATGTCATCAACCTGGTCGGCGAGGCTCATAAATGACGCCGTGTAGTCTTGGACAGAAGCCATCTGCGACCATGCACGCAGCTTCATGCGAGCTTGCTTCGAGGCGGATATGTGCTCGAAGCGACCTCGCAAGGCTGCGCCCCACTCCTTCCACGTGCGTATCGTGGTCACTCCGAAGATCGATGTTGCCACTTGATTAGTCGCTATAGAGGTCCCGTCTGCCGCATGTGTCACACCTGTCGGGGTCCCTGTTTCCAAGGTTCGGCGCCACCATTCAAGCGCTGCACCTCGAAGAAGTGAAACTGCGTAATTAATGCGCGTAGCGTCGTCATTAACTCCGGCTGCAGTAAAGAAGACTTCGACCCCAAACAGCCACCCTTTTACCGTAACCGTTTTGTCCGTAGGATTAAACGGAGGTGGATTGACGGGCTTGATTTTGATCGTCGTCACTGCTACTGGAGCTGCTGCCGCTCGCTGCCTATCCTCTTCTTCGAAGTCACGTGTGAGCGCATCCAATGGATTGCTCATCGCCTGACTGTTGCCCTCGCCTTCGTCCACAGGCGACTCCTGACGCGCTTCACCTCGCGTCTAGCGCAGTTCGGCGTTTTCCTCTCGTAGGATCGTCACTTCCGCCATTAATGTCTTCATGCTCTCCTGCATTTCTGCCACTTGCGCCATCATCCGGTTAACAGCTTCCTGATCCATGTGCCTAACGCTTCGTCTGGTGGGCAGTCGGGTCTCCGTGGCCTTCAGGCAAATGAAAACACAAACTATCGGAGTCGGGCAGGATTGAAGTAACAATCCCTGCAGCCAACCGTCGTGTAGTCACTAAACCAGCCACACCCTATGCCACCAAACTACCCTCGGAAAAGCGGGGTGAACTAGAAAGTAGCTCTGATACCAGGTGTTATGAGTTGTAAGAGAGTGCGCAGGTAAACGAATAACGAAGCTGTGACTGAATGAACTGCGAATACAAAGAATGTCCAGACTAATATAGAACTACGCTAGCTAGGAGAGAACCTCGGACGAGCGAGGTTGGGTGCAGGTTTGGCGATGAGAAAGCCGAAGGCGACGCGAGGAGCCTCGGCAGCGTTGAAATCGGCCGAACGTGCGAACTCCGAAAATCGGGTTGTACGCGAAGCAGTCAACCCCGATAAGGAATTCGGGAAAATTCCTTACACAAGGAATATGGTATTACAATGACGATCGTGACTAAAAGTACAAGCGCAACAAGAACTATTGCTGGCTGGGATGAGGCATTCGGGTATTATATGTAGTGGGGAATTTTTGTATGGAACCTAGTATTGTTGTTGTTGTTGTTTTTTGGTTTTTTTTGTTTTTGTTTTTTTGCTTTTTGTTTTTTTGCTTTTTTTTTTAATTTCAAGAAATTGAAAATGGACATGTGACGTTGATATTAAATGAGGGGGTAGCAGAAATCGGCCCGAATGGAAAAATTGTGTGTTGCAGAATTCTGAGAAACATGAAACAGCTTCACAATACAAATATGATTTATGTTAGAGGTTAGCAACACTAGTAAACGCAAGTTTCGAAGTGGAGTATATTGCACCAGCAACCCCGAGGCGCTGTGCTCAGCTTCCGCCGTCAACCACCAACCTTCCCCCTCCCTCTCCCCCCTTCCCCCCCCCACCTTTGATCCAGCTACAGTACTGTTGCAAATGGGCCACCTCAGCCTGGGACGAGCTGCCGCCGTCTTTTTAGCGAAGCGGCCAGGCTCGTTCCCGAGCTTCCAGAAGTGTAGCCTTGGATGGAGGTTGGGGAGGTGATTGGTGATAAGATTTCGGGGCAGATTCAAACACCACTAATGCTAGAGGAAAGTGATGCACAATCAGCGGAAAGACGTGCAAGAGACCAGGCTTTTTGTATTCTGATATTTCGGGTAGTTCCGTTTAAATTCGTAAGTGTTTGTGTGCGGTGCGAGACGCTTACCAGGTCAGCTAATATCAGAGACGCTTCTGCTTTGCCCGATGGCTGAATGGCTGTCTTTTCTGGCCGACGGTCTGTAGCCGAGGCGCCACCACGACGCATGTGTCGTCGCGCGAGTCGCAATTTCGTCAACATTTGCCCCAAATCTTGCCAACACCGCATTTCACTCCAGGAGAACCCCCCCTTCAGGAATCTTCTCCCACGCTGGTTTTCACCCAAAGCAGCCATGATTCGCGACGCGATTTCTCGAAATGTGGGGAGATCAGCCTTGGTTTACTTCGCGACTATAAATATGCCCCTATTTTCTTCCCAAACAGCAGCAAATCTTCTAAATATCACACCATTTGACCAGTTTTCCATCAATCGTCTAGATTTCAGCCATCCCCTGCACCCCATCAGTGCAGTCAGATTTTCCCCGTTATTGCCAGCATGAAGACTTTCGTGTTGCTCTCCGGGCTGATTCTTCTGTGCGCACTGCTCGCCATAACCGCGACGCCTGTTGCGGATGCGAACGTAGTTTCCGAGTCTGATCCCGTTCCTTCTTTCGCCGGTAAGTCTCTCGCTGAAATATGTGGGAGGTTGAACCATACTACTATGTGCGATAGTCTCACATGTGGGGCCAGTGGGACTAGTAAGGTTGAGCCCCATTTCCCCCTTGGTTCAACGAGAGTGTACATAATTCTGGTCGAGTCACGCGCTATGGAGTTTCTGTTTCAATGTACTATAACGAGTCTCTTTATCTGTGAGTGCAGAGCGGCGCTTCCCTGCTCTCATTGGTGGAGACAGGCGCATTCTAACCGACGACGATCATCACGACGACAAACACCACGACGACGACGATGACGACGACGACGACGACGACGACGAGCCGACGTGCATGGAAAAGTACAAGAAGCGCTACGCCAAGTGCGAAAAGAATGAGGACAAATGCGAGGAAAAGGCCAAGCGCGACGACGACAAAAATGAGTGCGAGAAGAAGTCCAAGGCGTGCGAGGTGAAGGCATACAGGAGCTTCAAGGCGTGCAAGTATGGCAAGTGGGACTGCAAGGACTGGTGTGAGTATTACAAACGCCAGTGCTATTCCAAGAAGAGGGGCCACTGTGAGGACAAGTACGACGACTGCAAGGATGACTGCTAGATGCCTGCGTCGTGCACCCAATCACACGCCACTCTTTGCTAAATATGTCCATATTCCGATTCTGAGACACGGATTTTCCGGGAGTTTCTGATTTTCATGGGTAGAAGTGGGCTGTGGATCTGAAGTAGTTTACTAGGGTCGTTCGGTTGGTTGGGAACCAGTAGCTCGGTTCAGCAGAAGGTTGGGTGGTTGGGTTTTAGAATGGGAGATGGGAAGCAGTCACGGGGGAGGGAGCTATGGCGGTCATAGGATGCTTGCTGTAGTGGATGTACCCTTGAATGGTAATAAAATATTGATTTCTCGTGCACTCTTGTGGAAGCTACCCAAGCCTTTATCCAGGCTAGTTGGCCATCACCGGAACTGCAAGATAGATCACCAGACCATGAACAAGCGGAATGAATGCTACGTTACCATTCCTAGTGGGAAGTCCACCGTAATGGAGATACTGGATGATGTATGTTCGGGTTGTGTTGCTAGTTTGATTGGTAGGTAACCCCTTCCACCACCAGGGCACTGTAGTCCTTGCTTACCGCATGTTTCACTGATTATCACACCAACACTGCAGCATACAAGTGTTCTGTGTACAATCCAAATGTGCTTTAGGTCAGCATACAAATGATTGCTCAAGTACCGTAGAAGAGGACCTTCCCAGCTACTGAGATCCACATAATCCAGTTACTGTGCTAAATGGGGTGATGCACGAGATGGGACATGATGACGGTAACTGACTCGTGTTTCTGTTTTTTTAACGCATCCTCGTTTCACTTCATATCATCCGCAGCTCGTACTCGCCAGCCATTGTGATGTAACGCACCCACGGCAACGCTTGGTAACCGCTCTTCTCGATGATCTTGAGATAACGCACCTGGATGGATGCAGCGAGTTCCATGAACAAGAAGGAATACCGGTAGGTTACGACAACAGGGATGGGAGGCAGAAACAAGCGTGAAAGATAGAGTGTGACTGGAAAAAAAAAGACATGGTTCAGGAGTATTCACTTGTTATTCTCTGTCACGCGGTGAGTTACGAGAAGACTTAGAGACAACCTGACGGACACTCTGGCTTCTCACCTGGATGCCAGAGACTGTGAAGTAGGGTATCTCGAATTTCACGCGGATCGGAGCTTTCTTCTCTGCCACGTCATCCTCTGCAGCCACACTGGGCAGGCTGAAACGCGCTCGCAGCAGGTACTCCTGAGGTGGAATCGAGGCAAAAAAGTGAAGCCAGGAATGGAGCGGGAGGGGAATAAGGGTACGCAGAGGGGATTGAGTCACCTTCCCCATTTTACTGATGTCACACCAGGCAGGCTGAAGCACGCTCGCAGCAGGTACTCCTGATAGGGGTTGAAGGTAGACAGTGAAGCCCTGGGGTGGGATAACATGGGTGTGCTAGGGTTTGGTAACATGGGAGAGCAGGCTTTGGGGACACCTCTATACCCATCCTCTGCTGCCACACTGGGCAGGCTGAAGTGCGCTCGCAGCAGGTACTCCTGATAGGGGTTGAAGGTAAACAGCGAAGCAGGTACTCCTGATAGGGGTTGAAGGTAAACAGCGAAGCAGGTACTCCTGATAGGGGTTGAAGGTAAACAGCGAAGCAGGTACTCCTGATAGGGGTTGAAGGTAAACAGCGAAGCAGGTACTCCTGATAGGGGTTGAAGGTAAACAGCGAAGCAGGTACTCCTGATAGGGGTTGAAGGTAAACAGCGAAGCAGGTACTCCTGATAGGGGTTGAAGGTAAACAGCGAAGCAGGTACTCCTGATAGGGGTTGAAGGTAAACAGCGAAGCAGGTTGAGTCGAAGCTCAGGGGTGGGAGGAAACACGGGTATAGAAGGGTTATGGTAACTTGGGGAAGCAGGGTTTGGTAACTTGGGGAAGCAGGGTTTTGGTAACTTGGGGAAGCAGGGTTTGGTAACTTGGGGAAGCAGGGTTTGGTAACTTGGGGAAGCAGGGTTTGGTAACTTGGGGAAGCAGGGTTTGGTAACTTGGGGGGAAGCAGGGTGTTGGTAACTTGGGGAAGCAGGGTTTGGGGACACCCCTGCCACGTCATCATCTGCTGCCACACTCAGCAGACTGGAACGGGCTCACAGTACATGCTCCTGAAAAAAAAGCCCAGGGCAGAACGTCGATACGCACAGGTTCTGCACCTTCCCTCCAAAAAAAAGACTTGATTTTCTGAAGATTTGCCTCCCACACATACATTCCCCCAGGAAGTGGGATCGAGAGGGCAAGAAGCACCCACCTTTGCCTCCAGGAAACGACTTGATCTTCCAGAGGATGGCCTCCCGCTCGGGCGTGTAGGTGGCGGAGCCCATGGAGGTGCTGGCAGCGCGGTCAATGGAGTGTGTGCCTCGACTCCATCTTGGGAGGCAGGGAAGGCGGGGAAACAGAGAGAAGAGCGAGACAGGGCAGCAGCACCCACCTTACCTCCGGGGAACGACTTGATCTTCCAGAGCAATAGCCTCCCTCTCAGGCGTGTAGGTTGGCAGAGCCCATGGAGGAGCGGGCGACGGGGTCTGAGATGCAACAAGGCAGCTCACCTTCCCTCTGGGAAAAGACTTGATCTTCCAGAGAATGGCCTCTCGCTCGGGCGTGTAGGTGGCGGGGCCCATGGAGGTGCGGGTTGGCGGGGTCAATGGCGTCCATGGGCACCAGCAGCTCTATCTCCACCGCTCCTTGAACTGGCTCACAGCCCTGCCTGCTGCTGCTTGCCCCTGCTCCAGTGCTGGTGTTTACCACCCCTACTGCCGCTCGCCTGCTCCACTGCTGAGTGTGCGCTCTGTGTGCCCACACGTACCTGGGCGTGTATGCTTCCACTCCATCTTGGGAGGCAGGGAGGGGGGAAAACGGAAGAGAGTGCGAGGCAGGGCAGCAGCACCTACCTTGCCTCCGGGGAACGACTTGATCTTCCAGAGGATGGCCTCTCGCTCAGGCGTGTAAGTAGCAGTGCCCATGGAGGTGCGGGCGGCGGGGTCAATGGCGTCCATGGGCACCGGCAGCTCTATCTCCACCGACGTCGCCGTCGACCGCTCCTTGAACTGGCTCCTCGCTTTCACCATGTACTCCACTCGGCTGCGCGAGTGCCGCTCCACCATTGCTTCGACCCAGATCAACGGTTTCACCTGCATGCAGTGTATACAAATACATGGTTTGAGAGACCGAAGAGGCTGTGTGTGGACCGCTCCTTGAACTGGCTCTCGCCTTCACCATGTACTCCACTCGGCTAGCGCAAGTGCCGCTCCACCATCGCTTCGACCCAAATCAAGGGTTTCGCCTGGTTTGGTAGTGTAACGTGCATGCGGCATACAAAACACATGGGTGCAAAAATGAAGTGCCAGTGTGTCGACCGCCTCCTTGAGCTGGCTCCTCGCCTTCACCATGTACTCCACTCGGCTGCGGGAATGCCGCTCCACCAGTGCTTCAACCCAAATAAGGGGCTTCACCTGGTGTGGACGTTTGCGGGATGGGTCTAACCATGCATTGGTGCATGCATGTGTGCATGCTGCATCTACAATACATGAATCCATGGCCCCCATTGCCACGATAGAAAAAGATGTGAGGCACGCACTGGGAGAGAGAAAAGGCAGATGGGAAGGAGAGAATGGTAGAGGAGAAGGAAGGCAGGAGAGGCGAGAGTGGAAAAAGGGAGAAGCAGGAGAGAGAATATGCAGGTGCTACTGACCTGAGTACTAAGTTGGTAGGTCATAAGGTCAAACACCCCGTCAGGTGGGATGAAGGAGATGGCTTAACGCGCCTCAGAAAGGGAGAGTGAGGGAATATGCAGGCGCTACTGACCTGAGTGCTGAGCCGGTAGGTCATAAGGTCGAACGCCCCATCAGGTGGGATGAAGGAGATGGTCCGGTCGTTCTCAAACCGAGCTAGACGGACGCACCTGTAGGCAGACGAACAGGAAAGGGCAGGGGTGGGGAAGGACAAGAGCATGGTAGGGTTAAGATTCGCATCAAGAGATGGACACGCCACAAGTGGTGGTAAGGGGAATGAAAGACGGGTGCAGCGCAAGCCCTTGGAACGTATTACAGTCGAAATCAATCGCCTTACCCTTGGTCGCTCTGCCCTGATTTTGAGTCGACTAAAATGAATGAAAGACGGGCGTAGGAGAACTACTCACTGATGGAACTTAATATCGTCCAGATCAATGGCCTTGCCCTTGGTCGCTCTGCCCTGTGCCTCCAGCAGCACTCGGTCGTTCAGCCCTAGCTTGCACTCTGGCATGCCACTGGGAGAGAGGTCGAGGGAAAGAGGGAGCAGGGACACACAAGTTCGATAATCAGTCCCGAATTGCACTCTGGCAAGCAACCGGGAGGGGACCAAGGTCAAAGGGAATGGGTAAAGGAGAAACAAAGTCATACTCCCTGACCCAACCCTCTCCCACATCCCTCCCTCCCACCACCCCCCCCTTCCCGCACCCCTCTCTACCCCCCTTCCTCGCCCATGTTTTCCCCTTTCTTCCTTCCCCCTCGTGTCTTCACCTGAGGTACGTTCGCATCTTGAGGGCGCCCACGACTTCAGACCGCACACTTGACCGTTGCTGTTCACCAGGATGTTCACAACTCTCAAACCACATCCAGGAACACCTGTGAATAAAGATAGAGACATTCAATAAGACACAGAAAGCAAATGATTGGCACGTTCAACAGTCTGCAAATGTCTAGGATGTCCACTCTCAACACACATCCAGGAACACATGCACATAAAAAAAACAATTAAACAGTGTGGGGAAAAAGCAAAACAAAAGAGGAACGCCATGAGACAGCGTTCGTGACACCTGGAAGTGTGTGGGGGGCTCTCTCTGGCACCATATGCACCAAAAACTCATGCACGCGCTCACCTCGTTCTTCTTGTACCGGATGCCCTCGCTACGCCAGGAGACGGCGTTTGGTGACGGCAGCGATGTTGGGCTTGGGCGTGGACAGCTCCAGGCGGTACGAGTCCGTCTTGATGAACTCGCTCAGAATCTTTGCCTCCGTGAATTGCGGGTATCCGAAATCCATTATCTCGTCCAGTAGCTCGTACTACGCGGGTGGCACAGGGAAGGCGAAAGGGGGAAAGGGGGGAAGGGGAGGACGGGAGGGGTGGGGAGGAGGGGAAGGGTGGGGTGGGAGAGGGGAGGGAGGGGGCGTGAATTGCGGGTATCCGAAATCTATTATCTCGTCCAGGAGCTCGTACTGCGCGATGGTGGCACAGGGAAGGTTAAAGGAAGAACGGGGCAATGGGGAGAAGGGGAGGGACGAGGAGAGGGGGACGGGTGGGTTCCGGAGAGGGACGGGGGGGAGTGACTTGCGGGTACCATAATCCATTATTTCGCCCAGTAGCTGGTACTGCACGGTGGTGGCACAGGTTAGCCAAAGGAGTTAGGTGGTAAAAAGGGGTAAGCTGAGGAGCGGGGGAGGGAAGGGGTGGGAAAATTGAGAGCAGAAGAGGGGAGGGAGGGGAGGCGGGGGGGTGGAGAGCATGGGAGAGTTGGGGTGGGAGACGGGGAGGAATGGTGTCGGGAAGGGGGATGTCAAGGCAATGGGAGTGAAGACCAGCAAGAAGAAGGGATCGGGACATGAGGACGCTTAAAGAAGAGCGGCAGGGAGAACGTGGAAGAGGGGGGAACCACAATAGGCAGAGACTCAGTTGGCTTGCTGTGATGGAAACACTTTCAAGCAACAACACGTACCACAATGACGAAGTTGTCTCTTAGGGACTCCTCTTCCAGCTCGTCGAAGTAGTACTTGAACACCTGTGACGAAAGAAAATACACATGAAGATTCGTAAGCATCATTTCTACCTACCGCCATCCGTCACAGACTTGCGGTCACAACCCTTCTGTATCAATAACGGAAATATTTGTCGTTGATACTAAACACCGCAGTGGATTTGCTCGCAGCTTCCCAGAAACTGATCAGAAAATTCACACAGCCCGAACACGTCAAGCTATGCCAATTCCCATGCTGTTGGCTGCATGCAACCCAAAGATCGATTTCATGCGACTCAATCATCAGGTGCACGAGAACCAGTCATCAGATGCATGTAACTCTAGTCAGACACATGCGACTAAATCGTCAGACGCATGCGATTCGCATCAGCCGTAAGCGATCCAATCATGAGTTACGCGCGAAATATGCGATGAAACCACGAGGTACATATGACCCACCGCAAAGCATACATGAGCCATCATAAGGGACATCCAAACCATCGCAAAGCACACATCAGCCATCAGCAGGCGCATCCGAGCCATGCCCAGGCACACACGAGCCATCATCATTGACATCCGAACCAACACCAGGCATACATGAGCAATTACCGGCACATCCGACCCAACTCAAACCAATCTCTACGACCCACTCACCTCCACGGCTTTGTGAAGGAAGAGCAGTAGGCTGGCCGCGTTGGCGTTTTGCCGGGTGGCGATCATGAGGTACACGTTGTTGTGCTGAATGAAGAGGTACGTCACTCCGTTGTCCAAAATCACTGGCTCTCGCGAGGACGGGTCAGCCTGACGCGACAAGGAGAGCGCGAGCGTGTGAGGATTCGGAACCATCGGTTACGAGGAATCAATGGATAGAGCGTGAAATGACGCAGAGCGGATGTCAACTGGTGAGACGGCAAGCAGAAGCGACCAAACGGTCAGATTTGATTACACACACTGACACTGACGGTGAAATCCAAACAGCATGCTTCCACGACCAGCCAATGTCGCCAGAATAACATGCGGACTACGATCCTAAAATGCATTCCTGGATTCTCTGTTGGAAAATGAGAGCTTGCACGACGCTGCAAACATACACCGAGAGTCCGCCTAAACTTCAGGCATTCTTATGATGTAATGATCCACATCAGGACATGAATATGGTTTGACTTCAATCCTCATCGCGTACCTCGCCTTCCATCAGCTTGTTGAAGAATTTCTCTGCAGCGGATGCAGGAACATCGCCACGGTAATCCCTCCATATCAGGACCCTCCCCTTCATGTCCAGGATGTACACCGCTGACGCCGCGCCCGACATGGCGCCTGCTTCTGTGAAACCTAAGGGAAAATTGGAAAGTAAGGGCAAAGCGAGAATAAGGCCAGATAGTAAGGAGCCTGGTCGAGTCGACGCGAATGGGGGAAAAGAGTCAGAACATTGCTTAATGTGGCTTAGGCAGCTGATGCGACAGTCGCGATGCCTATCGTAACCACAGACCGTTGCGACTTACAAAAATCGACGGTTTTTGCAGCAGTTTAACCCGTATTGAAGCACCAGCGAATGATCTAGAACTAAAATAGTGACCGAGGAACTAGATCTAGGTTGACCAGGAACCCTAAGAAGCTCAAGCTAAGGCCTTGTTTTTCGTAACGACACGCAAGAGGGATGATCCGTCACAACATCCCAGATGTCTGGCTGCAAGAACAGAGTGGGAAACGATTACTACAGGTACGACCTTTCACTGCTAATGGATTAGGGTATCAACTTGCTCCTGAGCCATGGCCAGGCTTCAGGAGGACGAGATCGAGGTAACTGATCCAGAAAATAGGCCAACGGATCAGAAATTCCTTAGAAAATAGGAAAACAACTTGATTGAGCGTCCTAGGGATTGCCTGAATCCTGATCCCCGATGAAATGAGTGTTGCTGCGAGCTCTCTCCTAGAAATTACAGCAGGGAAGGTATGGCTGATGATTCCAAGCCTCCCCTCCTGGAGAAATGCCCACCCACAGATTTCTCGTCTGAGCAACCTACCTGCCTCGATTCACCCACCTTGATTCTCCGATCCAGAGAAAGTCCAAGAGATGGCATTTTCGGCTTTGGCGATGGACCGCTTGGCGAAGTGCGGCGATCCCAGGGGTCTCGTGGTTTGCCTAGCACAAAGAAAGCCAGTAACCATAACGGCTATCTCATGCGTTTTCGCTACTGGTGGAGGAACGAGATGGTGGGAAAATGGACATTTCGGTGGCAGAAGGGCCAATCCCTAGAAACGGCCGGATGCCAAACGAGTGTCGCATAATCGCATTATATCGGGTCCAATGGAATACAGTAAATCCTAGTTACAGCAGCTACACTCCGCACTGGTTTCATTTCAGCCACCAATCCCATCCAATTCCATTCGACCGAGAAGATGTGCCAATCCCTGTCAAACCCATCTCGCCATGTGCCAAAGTCGAATCGCGTAATTTTGGGCTTCCCGCGTCTCCATCACCGAGTGGTGTCAAATGCGGTGCGGTGGGATATGATGGGACAGTAAGCGGATGCGATGGGATGGTATGGGCTGAAAAGGCGTGGGATGGGGTGATATGGGATTGATTACATCTGCGTATCACTCGAATTTTCATCCCACGTATGAACCTTGGAGGTTTGCTTGCCACTGCCATTTCAAGCTCCCCCCCAACCTTGGTCTGCGATGGCTGAACCTTATTATTCTCCCCTTCCCGTTGCCTGGGCTTTCTCTATTCGATACAATCTATGCCGTGCACAGGACTCCGCTGTGTCCTCCTCCTCGCAACACTCGAGGTTGGGATCTTGAAATCTTTGATGTTGTATGTTCATCGCTTACACGCCGATTAGTTGTAGGCTTCTCTTGCTCCTCCATTTGTCACTGTCGTGAAAAGCTACCATGCCGCCAGCTGTCGCCTTCCTGCCTGCCTGGAATCACGACCTGGAACGCTTGCCACCCGATTAAAAAAGCACTATCGCCGGTCTTGAATTCCGGTAGTGATGCCTCGTCAACTTCTAGATTACAACTTCTCATAAGAACGACTCAATTGGTTTTCCAGGAACTTTTCGTTCGTTGGAATGACCACTGGTAGTGCAACAACCATGGCGATCGAAGCCTGTCTGGAAATGCCTGATGAGACGCAGACAGGCGAAGGATTGGTTGAAAGCGAATGGAAGTGCGAGGTGCGGGGATTAGTTATATCAGTACAAACCGGCTCAATCCGTTACAATCGATCACGTGCCAACAAAGCCGCTGTAATCAATGCGGCACTCTTCGCGGCGGCCGATTTCGCCAGCTTGTGTCCGCAGCGGCTTGGACGAACTAGCGATCTGTTCGCTTTTGCGGCTCGACGGGGATCGCATCAATGGCTGGAAACCACGCATCCAGACTGTTAATAGCAATCAGCAGCGAAATCAATCGCGCGTGCGGATTCCTGATCGGAGTGCTTCGCCGCTCTTTGTAAAGGCCTACTCGTTATAAGGAAGGGCCCAGGGTGAGTGATGGTCATCAGGGCTATCGTGAGTATTAGTCATTGCGATCCGAGCTTTGATACTGGGCTGAGCTACTCTAGGGTGTTACGTGGAGAACTCAAAAGGCCTTAGAGTCTGCCGCTGCTGCTGTCTAACGTTAAGAACGCCTCGTAGCAGAAGGATATAAAAAGAGTCTTCTCATCTTAGCTGTCAGAGAAGAGGCGCCTCTCTTGCCCAGTTCGTGCTGACCGTTACTCCCTGAAGCGATTCTCACCAAAAGCTCGCAGCGACCGTGACCGGGACGCAAGCGGAGAAAGCGTGTCTGATGGCGCACACACGGATCCCGGTCCCTTTCCATCAGCCGCTGCTGGTGTTTCTGTGCTGCCTCGTTATTATCAGCTTCACTGGTACGTCATTGTCGTCTCATGGGGAAATAGTTTGAGCTTGTATGCTTCTGCCTGTCTGTCTGTGCATGTCTGACTCAACACACGAACGACCTCCTTCAGACTGTTTTTTTTACCCGACCTCTATCTACTGCAGTGACCCCTTCCTGCGTCCAATCCCCTACACCCCCCTCACATTTCTCAGCAACACCCTCTTAACAATTCACCATCCTTGTTTGTTGACTCCCCTCGTCTCTCGCTCTCAACCACTTCCCCAACTCCTTCATCCACAGGAATACTCGCAACAGCAGCGCCACCGCCACCACCAGCATCAGCAGCATCGCTTGCATCGCGAGCATCAGCAGCCTCAGCGGCATCAGCAGCTTCTGCAGCGTCGGCAGCATCGGCAGCAGCACGGGCGGCAGCGCCCCGTGCTCCACCTGGTCAGGTGTCTCCGGCATCTGCCGCCCGCCAGGCCGCCACGTCATCATCGCGTTCGCCGTTGCCACTTGCTTCCCCACAAGCGAAGCAGCAACCACTAGTAACACCTGCCCCTGTAACACCTAGACTCCCTGTTACATCCACAACACCTGTTACCCCTAGAGCACCTGTAACACCGGCCACTGTTACGCCTGCCCCAGTTACGCCTAGAACACCTTTAACACCAGCGGCGCCTGTTATAGCAGAAATTGGTGCAGCAGCACGAAGCACTGCAACACCAAGAGCTTCTGTTACGGCAGGAACTCTGGTTACACCTACAGCAGGGCCTCTGGTTACACCTACAGCAGGGCCTCTGGTTACACCTACAGCAGGGCCTCTGGTTACACCTACAGCAGGGCCTCCGGTTACACCTGCGGTTCCTGCTACAACCGGGCCTCTGTCTACACCTGCAGTCAGTCAGCCAGTGAGCAGCCAAGGGGTGAGGAGCACAGTGTCTCTACGAGGGACAATGCCAGCAGCCGTGCCTGCTACCGTGCCTGCAGCCGTGCCTGCAACCGTGCCAGCAGCCGTGCCTGCAACCGTGCCTGCAGCTGTGCCTGCAACCGTGCCTGCAACCGTACCTGCAGCCGTGCCTGCAACCGTACCTGCCACCGTGCCTGCAACCCTACGTGCCACCGTGCCTGCAACCGTGCCTGCAACCGTGCCTGCAACCGTGCCAGCAACCGTGCCTGCAGCCGTACCTGCAACCGTACCTGCCACCGTGCCTGCAATCGTACCTGCCACCGTGCCTGCGACCGTGCCTGCAACCGTGCCTGCAACTGTGCCAGCAACCGTGCCTGCAGCCGTACCTGCAACCGTACCTGCAACCGTGCCTGCAATCGTACCTGCAGCAGTGGCCACTGCAGTCCCTGCATCAGCGCTTGGAACAGTGCCTGCCACCGTGCCTGCATCTGCAGCAGGGGCGAGGGCAGCGGGTGTGTCAGGGCCCTCTGCTGCCAGTAGCATGACTCTAGGGGCCCGCCCTTCGCCTGCTTCTGCAGTGCCTGTCTCAACGCCTGGAGCAGTGGCTGCATCTGCAGAAGGGGCGAGGGCGGGTGTGTCAAGCCCCTCGGCTACCAGTAGCACAGCCCTAGGGACCCGCCCCCCTTCTGCTGCTGTATCTGCCTCAACACCCACTAGGGCCAACCCCCATGCTGCTGCTGTGCCTGTCTCAACACCCATTAGGGCCAACCCCCATGCTGCTGCTGTGCCTGTCTCAACACCCACTCAGGGCCGCCCTTCCTCTGCTGCTGTGCCTGTCTCGACGCCTGCAAGGAGCCTCCCTTTGGCTGTTGCTACTATGCCTATCTCAACACCCACTAGGGCCCGCCCTGCAGCCATGCCTGTCTCGACGCCTGTAAGGGGACTCCCTTCCACTGCTGCTGCTGTGCCTGCATCAACATCCACTAGGGCCCGCCCTGCTGCCACGGGCGATTCGCCAGTTGTCCTCCCTGCGACAACGACTACTCGCAACCTCCCCACCCAAGTGCCCTCCCAGTTACCCTCCCCACCAACTGCCGCTAGCAGCAGCAGCAGCAGCAGCGGCGGCGGCAGTGGGGAAGGAGGAGGGGGGCTGGGGGGGATGATGGGTTTTCTGGGCCCTTTGACGTCCACTTTCTCAAGGATGTTTGATGTGAATTGGCTCACAGGCACATTCTTTTCTATTGGCTCTTGGTTCTCCTCCCTGGTGCGTGGGCAGCAGTAGAGAGGAGTGGCACGAGTGGTGAATTGAGACAGTATGGAGGCTGGTGACGTGAATTGGCTCACAGGCACGTTCTTTGTTATTGCCTCTTGGTTCTCCCTGGTGCATGGGCAGTAGCAGTGAGGGGTCATAGGCTGGATTCATTGACTCTAGGTGATGATGTGACATGATGTACGGTATGTAAAATGTTCTAGTAGAGTAGTGTTATTATGTCCAAGGCAACCATATGATACATGCATGGTAATAGTAATACTGCCACGCCTTCTATGGTAGAACATACAGTAAGGATACTGGTAGGAACGTACACAAGAATATCATACATACAGGTTGTGTTTGGTTCCCGCCATATCTCCACGGCTCTTCAGGATACCAGATCGGCGCAACAAGCGGTAGCCTATACAAATCTGAACAGGAAGCTATGGAAGACATTAGGCAGAACTTAATAGTCAAATCATAATGGTGGTTTGCCTGACAGTCCAGGGTGAGGGATTGTCATGGCATCCACCGGGGGGGAATTTGCATGCATGACATAGCACACACAGCTGAGGCTGAAATAAATACACTTTAATAAATACCATGGCACGCCAAAAGGGAAGAAGCATGTGTCAACAGGACCTTGCTAACTACCGTAGGCCCATTCTATCAAGCTACAACTGCTGTAATGCGTCTCTGTGTGGAGGGGTGCTTACGCTGCGCAGCCAAGACAACGATAGGCAAGACGGGGCGAAGACAGACGTTAAATCCCAGGAACATTATACGCATTTAAGGACAAAGTGAAGGCAGCTGCTACGTGCATGGAATGGGAACCAAATGGACAAAATCAGAACATACCAGTAGGCTCCCACAGGATGGTGGTCTCTGCAATCTTGCCCGTGACAATGTATGGGTCCATGTTAGACGATGGCCGCCTGTCCTCGAAGTAACCTGGAAAGGTGTCAGATGACCAGAGACATTTTGTAAAGCGTGGTTCTTAGCATGTTTCAGGAGTTTGTTGCTTTTGATCCACGAGATAAAAAAACAAGAGTTACGTGCTCAGAAATGCGCTCACAATAGAGCGCGAATGCAAGGAGAAATTCGACTCACCCTTCTTCTGCGCCTCTGTGTCGCGACCCACACGGACCGAGCAGCCACGGTTGGCCACACCCTGGAGTAAAAGTGGGGCAGGGGGGGGGAAGAAAGGAAGGGAAGAAGAGACAGAGAAGGATCACGAAGTAAGCAGACAGAATTGGCTCGTTCATTCCAACTGCTACAGCGTGCTCTCATCATGCTACCGACATACGCTAAGGAAAAAGAAAGGAAAAATAAAGTCGCGTACCCAGGAGAAGGTGTTCATGTCGGCCGTCTCGTGCTTGCCCGTGAGGCGGCGCTCGTTGCCCTCGCCGTACGCCGCGATATGCTCCTTGTGCTTCAGCCCCAGCTTCTCGATCGCCTTCACGATCAGATCGTACCCGCCCTCCTCGCGCATTGCCTTGGTGCTGCACGGGAGAACCCCAACACACGATCACAACGAAACGATTGAACAACCTCGCTTTCAAAAGATTTGCTAGAAACCGGCAGAGAAAGGGAGAGCTGTCTTGGAAAGGGGGAAAGAAAAGGGTTCGTAGCTTTAGACTAGCAGCAAACCGACCTGTAGTTGGTATGGCAGCCGGCGCCATTCCAGTCGCCCTCGATCGGCTTGGGATCCAGCGAAAGCACCACGTCTGCCATCTCCGTCACTCTCTCCAACAAATACCGCGCCATCCACAGGTGATCGCCCGCCTCGATACCCGTGCAGGGGCCCACCTGGAACTCCCACTGGCCCGGCATCACCTCCGCGTTAATGCCGCTGATGTTAATCCCCGCGTACAGGCACGCCTTGTAATGCGCGTCGACAATGTCGCGACCCCACGCCTTGTCCGCGCCCGTGCCGCAGTAGTACGGCCCTTGCGGAGCGGGGTAGCCGCCGGTGGGCCAGCCGAGGGGCCACTTGACGTCCTTCTTGAGGAGAGTGTATTCCTGCTCCAAGCCGAACCTGCGATGGTGGTTCCGGGACGCCGAGGCAGGGTTGGGCACGGGGGAATGGGACATAAAAAAACGAATTGACATAACGTGAATGCGAGAGGCATGTGAATCAACAGGAAAAGGCACGGGAGGCACGTGAAAAGACAGGCATCGTGGAAAAGGCAGCCCTATATATTCCAGGGCTTAGAGGTAATGTAAGTAAGCACGCTTGTTGGGAAGACGAGACGTACCAGGGCTCGTGGTCCTTGACTTTCTCGAACACAGAAGCTGCGAAGGCGCGCTTGTTGCTGGGAATGGGCTCGCCTTGCGGAGTGTAACAATCGCACATGACCTGGTAGTAACGACAGGAAAAGCAACAGCGAAAAGAGGGTATGTTAAATGATTGTACTACTACACGATTCCACTTAAGAAGCTTAAGAAAATGCGTTCAAGAAAATGCGTTCAAGAAAATGCGTGGAGACGCTTAAGAAAATGCGTTCAAGAAAACCAAGCGATTGTGACGGCGTGGCTGTTCGCATGCACAGCGTGTACAGCGCAAGCGATTGGTACAAGCGGTCGCTAGTAACGAGCGTGTGTCAGGCCCACGCGATCAATATGTGAGCGCTCGCGTCAAAGCCTACTCATATAGCTTCTCACCAGAATGTTGTCGCCGCCACGGAAGGGATCCTTGAACACGGCTTGAGGGCTGCCAAAAGGTATCACATGAGCACCAAAACCAGATAGATAGTCATGTCGGAATTTTGCATACGTGCCGGAAGGGCAGCATGAATGAGGGATGGTTTAATATTAGCCGATGTATGCCAAAGAAACGGGAGGCCCCTGTAATGAAAGGCGCCTGTAACAGGAGGCGGGACTCACTAGAGGATCACTTCGCTGTCTGTGCCCGGAGCCTGTCCCGTGCTGGAACCATCAAAGTTCCACTTGGGAAGCTTCGCGACGTCGCCGGGACCAATGGGACCCTTCACAGTCTGCACGAAGAAACGAAAACGGAATTCGGATGAAATGAAACGAGCTGACCCTTTTTGAAAGCTGATTAGTTTGAGCAACTTGAATGGGCAATAAGATGCTGAACTTCGCGGAGAAGCTTACCCTGGCCTTGCTTCTGACATCAATTCCCGATCCTCCAATCCTGCGGGAAAAAAAGATCGAGAACGTTCAACGAGTGTCAGATAAAGAAGGCAAACGCTTACATTGGTTTGAGAATTCTCAAGCGTTTGCCTAGGCTCACCAGACGTATTCCGCGATGACTTCGCCAGTTGTGATGGGAATGTTCTTAAGTTGATCAATAGTGGAAGCCATGGCGATGAAACGATTGAAGCGGAGTCAAGCAAGTGAACAGAGAGGCCGAACGAGAAGAACGACGAAGCTGAATTCGAAAAACAGGTTTACTAGTGGTGAAAATCTGAACCGTTTCTAAGAATGACTGACGATAAGAAAGGCGCAGCGAAATAAATACGACTGGATTTTTCAGGGAGTTCCCAGGTATGAATTCCCCAGAGATTTCCGCCACGAAAATATCGTGGGATTGGGTAGTCGAGTCGCCCCGAGCGGAGCGCAAACTGGAAGAGGGGAGAGCCAGAAAGCTAAGCGCGCGGATGGGGAGGCAGACATTCATGCTGCGGAAGTCTTCGTCGGGAACTAGCGCAACAGAAAAGGCGGGTCTTCGGAAAAAGTGCATGGACCGCACGGAGGGGACAGATGTTACGGCGGTAGGCTGCTCGCCAAACCTGGCGTCATACAGCTTAGGTGGAGTAACACTATTGGATTATATTCCACGTGGGTAACTTTAATTGCTTCCAATTCCCAAGGTTGCACAGGAATGTAGTCTCTGCACTTCCTGCTGGCAGTGGTGGCGCATTCCCATAAGGCGCGCGGCGGCGACATAAAATGCCTCGCTGGAATGCAAGTTCCTGATGAACGCGGTTCATGCGACTCACTGTAGCTGTAGCAATCGAGATCTATATGCAAGTGACAGAGTCACACAGGTGCAATAGAAAAGCAAGGCACTACACTTTCAAAGGTGAAAAAAAAAAAAGCGACATACATGAGACAAGCTGGAAAACAAATCTTCAGAAGCCTCAGATGTGGGGAAAACATGGAAATGCAAATCCAATCAAATGGAAGGTAGCATCTACATGGCATGGTGTGCGCCTGACGCAGCTTCAAAATTAGTGTTTAACTGCACCATAGTATGATTCAGCAACTGGAGCTTCAAAAACAAGATTTAGGAGTGAAAGCATCTCACTGCATATTTCAATTTGGCAGAGCTCGACTGGAGCTCCAATAGCAAGAGTGTGGAGGAATGTAAGCAACACACTCCTAACTTGATATGGCCAAATAAGGAAGTCGACACCACCCTCATTTCGCATAAGGTTTGTCAATCCCTGTTCCACACAAGATGCCATGCCACATACATTTCCAATTTCGATTAGTACAGTGGAGAGACTTCACCTTTAGCGGTTGCAAGTGGATGCAACTCACACCCGATGCACACCGAGTCATGGCACTTGACTGATACAACACAGATTAGACCGTAACAAAGTATAACATGCTTGGGACACACAAACAAGTATTTGATGAGTCCGTATAACATACTCTCACCAGTATTTGATGAGTCTGTCCCAGCCGCACGTGGCCACCTTGCTGGTTTCAAGCAAGTGCCACTTGCACTCGATGCACACCGAGTCGTGGCACTTGACTGTAGCAACAGACATATCCTACAGTAACAAAGGTCACACACTTTTGACCAATCACTGACCAGTATTTGATGAGCCCATCCCAGCCGCACGTGGCCACCTTGCTGGTCTCCAGGGGGTGCCATTCACACCCGATGCACACCGAGTCGTGGCACTTGACTGTGCGGAACACCTTGCATGTCTTCCAGTCCCAAAACCACAGCTTGCCCTCTCCGTCCCCTGACATTATGAACCGGCCATCCGGGGAAAAGTTCACCTGGTGGTGTGGGGGAAAATGGGAGGCGAGCACCAACAGGAGAACGGGGGAGGGAAGGGGATGGGGGAGGGAGGGGCAAGGGCGTAGGTGTTGGTGTTCCTGAAAACCATTGGTGGCGCTGCTGACAGGCATAAGAGCCACTCGCACCCGATGCACACCGAGTCGTGGCACTTGACTGTGCAGAACACCTTGCATGTCTTCCAGTCCAAAAACCACAGCTTGCCCTCTCCGTCGCCCGACATGATGAACCGGCCGTCCGGGGAGAAGTTCACCTGGTGGCGTGTGGGGGTGCGGTGGGGGGGTTGGGGTTAGGGTGGGTGGGGTTGTGCATGGAAGGAATGAGCCATTCAGAACCACAGCTTGCCCTCTCCGTCGCCCGACATTATGAACCGGCTGTCCGGAGAGAAGTTCACCTGGTGGCGTGTGGGGGTGCGGTGGGGGGGTTGGGGTTAGGGTGGGTGTGGGTGCGGCGCTCAGAGGTGACTTTTCTGTGGGTGGTTCTGACTCAAAAGTCACTTTGTGGGTGCGGCGCTCAGAACCACAGCTTGCCCTCTCCATCCCCCGACGTTATGAACCGGCTGTCGCGAGAGAAATTCACCAGGTGGCGTGTGAGAGAGTGGGGGTAACAGGTGGGGGTTGAATGGAAGAAAGTGACAAATAACCACACAAAGCCACAGCTTGCCGTCGCCGTCGCCCGACATTATGAATCGAGCATCTGGAGAAAACTTTTGAGGCGCCTCAAAAGACATTATGAATCGAGCATCTGGAGAAAAGCTGACCTGGTCACGGGGGGGTGAGGATGCACCAAACCAAACAAGCCATCATTGCTCCACCAGCCTGCCCCCACGAGCCGGCCCCCACGAGCCGGCCCCCACGAGCCTGCCCCCACGAGCCTGCCCCCACGAGCCTGCCCCCACGAGCCTGCCCCCACGAGCCGGCCCCCACAACCCACCTGGCATGCATATCCTGTAATGCTGTGGCCTGCAAACCGCCTCTTGCAGTTCAGCCGGAACCGGCCCTTAGCACCATGTACAATGATCGAGCTGTCCAAGCATTGAGCTTCCACTGTCCCCAAGCCTATCCCCCTATGAATCTTCCTCCAATGCCTGTCCCCCCAATGCCCGCTCTACTCTACCCACCTGGCAGGCGTATCCCCCAATGATGTGGCCTGCGAACCCGCTTCTTCCTGTTCAGCCGGAACCGGTCCTTAGCACCATACACAATGATTTGGTTGTCCAGGGATTGAGCTGCCTGCCAGCCCACCCCATCGCCCCCTATGTCTGTGTCCCCCCGAGCCCTATACCAGAGCCCTGCAAGGCCCCCTCCCCACCTGGCCAATCTCCTCTTCACACCACCCACCTGGCAGGCGTATCCTGCAATGATGTGGCCTGCGAAACGCTTCTTCCTGTTGAGCCGGAACCGGTCCTTAGCACCGTATACGATGATCTGGTTGTCCAGGGATTGAGCTGCCACCCACGCCTTGTTGGGATGCACTGCTATGGCTGGCATAGAGTGCATGTGCGGCTCACTGGTGTGGGGGGGAAGGGAGTAGAGAGGGAGAGGAAGGGGCGTGCAAGGGGGAAGGATGAAAAGACAGTCCTTGGCTTCACACATGCATGCTGCCACACATGCCTTGTTGGGATACTGCTATGGCTGGCATGGAGTGCATGTGTGGTTCGCTGGTGTGAGGGAGAGGGCAAGCAGAAGGGAAAGCAGAGAGGGGGATGAGAAGGATGGGCCTTTGGCTCTCCATATATGCTGCCACCCACGCCTCGTTGGGATGCACTGCTATGGCTGGCATGGAGTGCATGTGCGGCTCACTGGTGTAAGGGGGGGGGAGGGAGGAGGCAGAGGAGCGAGCAGAGGGAAATCAGCGGGGAAAAAGGAAATGACTTCTGAGTCGCAACAGCAGATTTTTGAGTCGCAACAGCAGACTTTTGAGTCGCAACAGCAGACTTTTGAGTCGACTCAAAAGGAGGGACAGGGGACGACAGGGGCGGGTTGGCTTTTGAGTCGACTCAAAAGGAGCGAGCAGAGGGAAATCAGATGGAAGAAAAAGGGAAAGAGAGGTGCGGTGGAATGAGAAGGGATGAGAAGCGGGAAAACAGGATCTGGACGGGCAACAAGGAAAGCAGAGGAGCAGAGAAGGTTGTCTGATATACTTGACGACAAGAGGAGGTGACTTTTGAGTCGACTCAAAAGGCAACAAGGAAAGCAGAGGAGCAGAGAAGGTTATCTGAAATACTTGACGACAAGAGGAATCCCACGTGCATTTTGAGGCGCCTCAAAATGCACCTCACTAAACGAGGAAAGCAGTGCAGAGAAGGTTATCTGAAATACTTGACGACAAGAGGAATCCCACATCCCACACACGCAGGGGCTTGTCAGAATGACATTGAAGTTGATTCAAAAGAGGGGACAAAGCGAAGAGCAGAGCAGGGCAGAGAAGAAAGGAAGTAGTGTATTGCTTACCTGATATACTTGACGACAACGGGAATACCAAACTCCCACACGCGCAACGATTTGTCGTCGCTGCTCGTTACAAACCGCCTGTTGTCATCCAGAAACGTAATCGTATTGACTGCACCCAAATGTTGGTCATATTCCTGGGTAATTTCCCCTGACCGCGTGTCCCACTGCATGATCTTCTTGTCGCTCATCCCCGCCAGCAGAATGTTCTGCTTGTCGTCGTCGGGGTGTAATTTCACCACGTAGGGTATTTTACCCGTGGAAAACGTCCCCGTGACCTGCCCGGTCTCGGTGTCCCAGAGCTTGATGTTACGGTCGTAACCGCACGAGACGAATTTCAGCCCGTCGTTCGCAAAGCAAATGTCTCGAACCGCCTTGGAGTGACCCATGTAGGTGCGCATGCACTTCTGCGTGTTGGGCACGTCCCAGATCTTGATCTTGGTGTCCATTGATGCAGACAGCAGTAGATGGCCGTACCTGGTGGGACAGACAGAGGAGGAAGCGAAGGGAAGAGAAGGGAAGAGTGGGGAAGAGAGGGGAAGAGTGGAGAAGAGGGGGGAGAAGAGGACAAGAGGGGGGAAGAGAGAAAAAAAAGGGGAGAGTGAGGAGAAGAGGCGAAGAGAGGAGGAGAAAATGTCTCGAACGGCCTTGGAGTGACCCATGTAGGTGCACATGCACTTCTGCATGTTGGGCACGTCCCAGATCTTGATCTTGGTGTCCATTGATGCAGACAGCAGTAGATGGCCGTACCTGGTGGGACAGAGGAGGAAGAGAGGGGAGAATACGGAGGGGAAGAGAGAAAAAAGGGGAGAGAGGGGAGAAGAGCGGGGGGAGAGGAGAGGGAAAAGGGGAGAGTAATGAGAAGAGGCAAGGAGAGGAGGAGCAAAGGTCGCGCACGGCATGGCCTTGGAGTGACCCATGTAGGTGCGAATGCACTTCTGCATGTTGGGCACGTCCCAGATCTTGATCTTGGTGTCCATTGATGCAGACAGCAGCAGATGGCCGTACTTAGGGAAGAACCGGATGGCAATGACACCCTTGGTATGCCCGCTCCACGTGTGAATCCGCCTGAAAGGCGCCTTTGGGTTACAGAACTCACTTCAAGTCCGGAATGTTTTGAGACGTCTCAAAACACTCCTTCTTTCACGTGGATCCGCCTGAAAGGCGTCTTCGGGTTACAGAACTCACTTCAAGTCCGGAACCTCAGCACCTATGATACTCACTTGGGGAAGAACCGGATAGCACTGACGCCCTTAGTATGCCCGCTCCACGTGTGAATCCACCGCTTCGGAATATAGCAATGCGTGGGCGGCACGGGATTAAGGGCGTCTTTAGGCGGTGCAATCCACGAGCGACCCTGATAGTCCTTCTCCTGCTTCCCATGGAACGTGCTCTTTTCTTCCACCTCCTCCTTGTCTCCTCTCTCCTTCTTGGCTTTTTTCAAAGCGTGCTCCTCCGCGTATTTTTTTTGCTCCTCGGTCAGCTCAGCCTTGGGTTCCTCTTTTTTGCCTGCCCAGGGGGATTTGGAGCTTTTGAGGAGCCATGATTCTGACGCCGGATTGGCTAGTTCCGCTTCTGGAGCCTCCTCTTCCTCCTCCTCCTCTTCTTCACTCTCTTCTTCCTCCTCCTCCTCTTCTTCGCTCTCTTCCTCCTCTTCCTCCTCCTCACTCTCCTCTTCTTCCTCTTCTGCCTCCTCCTCTTCTCTCTCCTCCTCCCTGCTCTTCTTTGCCCTTTCCTCACCCTCCTCCTCTTTAACACCCTTCCCTTGCCGCCCTCGCTTCTTCCCCTCCCCTTCCCCCTCCCCCTCCCCCTCTCCTCCTGCTCCCTCCTCCCCTTCCGCTCCCACCTCCGCCCCCACATCACCTTCCCCCTTCCGCTTCTTCTTTGCAGCCTTTCTCGCTTTCTCTTCCTCCTTCTTCCTCTTCCTCTCTTCCTTCTTCGCTCTCTCCTCCTCCTTCCTCCTCTTCTTCTCTTCCTTCCTCTTCCTCTCCTCCTCCTTCCTCTGCTTCTCCTCCGCCTTTTTCCTCCTCTCCTCCTCTTTCACCGCCATAGCCCGCTTTTCCCGCTCCTGTTTAGACACATTGTACACTGTAGCACCCGCCTTAGTGTCAACCGCTTCTTTATCACCCACGACCTCGGTCCCGTTTACACTTGCGGGGTCAACACTGTAGCCGTACGCCTGAAACGTGTGGTACTGTTCATCGAAGACAAAAGAGTCCACCGACGCGTCTTGGACGGATCCCAGCCGGTGGTTTCGCAACCCTAACGCGCGGCCGTCCGCGTTATGAGGATGCGCGGGTCCCACTACAGGAGTCCACAGTTGATCGTAAGTTGGATTAAATTGTAAATTCCGCTTCGACGGGTCGATGGGAGCTGTCATAATATCGCGTGGTACAGCAGCGAGTAAAGCGTCGCTCACTGGCGGAGCGGCCGAACTAGGGGGAGCGAGAAACCTGTACGCCATATTGTCATCGTCGCTATCGTTATCGTCGTTTTCCTGAGCAATTCGTGACGCTGACTTGCTTGCAGTAACCCCAGCAGAACCGGTTAGGGTTGCACCAGTATTGGTACCAAAAGCCTGCTTTTCCCGAGGCGGAGAAGCTGTTATCGTAGATTTCTCTCGCGGAGAATCCTCCCCTCCCTCCTCGTCACTCCCGTACTGACGCGATAGAATATCCATGGCTGAAATCGAGCAGGATTTTCAAACCTAAATTGCAAATCAAGCAGGACTTAAAATCCAGCTGCGCGGTTGAAACCTAATTTTGCACGAGAGAAGACACCAGTCCAGGCAAACACGTGCGAATAAATCAGCCACAAACGCTGACAACAATCAACTACCAGTAGCACCTGGTGTGCGCTAGGTTGGGTACAGCGGCCATGAATGAAGAAAAAGAATCGAAGCCAGCAAAAGAAAAGCGTGACCCAAAACTCATTCCCGAAATCTTCCCAATAAGCAGGTCTTGTATAGATTTGAGGTATACGCATTAGTGTAAGAGAAACAGCTCCATAAGTAGCACTATGACAAGTGCTGAATGCTCAGCAGCAACAAAAGCATTAGCCATGAAAAATATATGCAGACATACATAAAATATTCTAAACAAGAATTGAAAACAACGTTGGAGTTTTAGGTCATCATCATAACAATCGAAAATATACAGTGGGCTCAGACACCCATTTCCTTTCCTTTTTTTAGTTCTACCATAGGATGTTATTCAGCAACACCCGAAAAGCGTCTCGACGTCCCCCGAACCCCTCAACGCTCATCTTTCATTGCACCTCTACCCTCACAAACTCCTACGTCCACCCACCTCTTTCATTTCACAACAGGCAGTTGTCTGAGCCTCCTTGTTCGGCCATATAAACCATTCATCAGAACCGCTGTATTGATTACCCTGCCTAACATTCGATTCGTCTACCTAGCTTCCAACACTCCCACACACCCCTCCGGAGCGGTACTACTTTTCGTTGGCAGCTATGGCTGCTGGAATGTGCAGCCTTTCATCTGACATTGTAAGCTGGAAACGATGTTGAACAAGTCCACTGATACCATTAAACAGTCTATTAGAAATTGTGATGCGCCGTATTTTCCCCTGTCGCTCGGGTTTGTTTTGATTGGCGATGGGGGCCCCCATACGGCGGACACTGAGGCAGAGCGAATTTGAGTCGTTGGCCGAGGGTTTATCCTGCTGAAAGCCCGCGAATAATCGTTCCCCACATGCAGATGCCGATTGTGCTCACATTTAGGCCATGCTTTATCTTAAGCGTTTTCGTACACCAAAGCTTTCGTAACGGTGGCCCCTGATTTAATCTGCCATTTCTAACAGACCCACTCCTTTTTCCTGTTGGTGGCTGGAGCAGATGATGAAGCAACAAGTTTTGCATCTACCCTGCAATCGGTTACGAATCAGAAGCAAATGTTCAACGTGATTACCAAGAAAGCGCTTTCCCTCATTTGGTACGTATACGGGTACATTTGACTCGTTTCTAGAGACAGGAACTTTCATTGACGAGTCCCATTGTGCTGATTACTGGAGGAGGCGGTGATGATATCTATAGATCACAATCCTTATTGTCTGAGCGCAAAGCTGATGGCGGAATCTAAGGGTCTGAGCCTCCTCCCTGATTCATTACAGCATCGTCGTCGTTCTCTCCACGCCACGATTGTTTTTTTCTGAAGTTCACCTGTCACACCTCTGCCGGTCCACAGTGATGACTCGATATATACCCAGCTCGCTTCGAGCTGCTAAGCAGCGCTGAAGAAAATTATTCGTTTCCAACTCACGTAATTTTGTCTGAGTGGACCTCACCATCATTCTTTCTGTGACGTCCATTTACAAATGTTTGTCAGTGGTGGAGATCATGCAATATTCCATCCGCCCTTTGCTTACAAAAAAGGTTCGGTCACGTAATTGCAACAGAAATGTTTCGGTGGTGGCCGGGGCTTGCTAGCCCTGCCGATCGTTCGGTTGGGCCGGATCGTTCCCATTGGGGTTTGCTGCCCTCGTTTGGAGGAGGCGACGTGTTGTCGGCCACTCTCGACATTTGTTCTTTTTATCAATTAATCCGTCTTTTATTCCTGCCTTGGTTCGTGCAGATGGTGTTGCACCCTGATTCATGTGGGCGTTCGTGCTCCCGCGCAACGTCGGTTCTTCAACAGTGGAAGCATGCACGCTAAGTCAATGGCTATGACGGCACTGACGAGTCGTCGTTTCGGTGACTCACGGAAGAAGTTGACAGAGCTTTAAGGTGCGCTTCAGTGCTGATATTTTTTTCTCACTGCTCTGGGTGATTCTCAACCGTTCGAATTACTCGCAGCGATATGAGGAGATTCTTTTTCTCGCGTTGAGCCACTTTGTGGCCGTGATGCTTCAACTCATCTAACGTCTTCAAAGTTCTCTGATCGCTGCTTCTCTTCAACCTAAACTGTACACGCGGCCCTGATTCCATCGTTTATTTAAGCTTCAATAAAAGTTGGTCGCGAGTGTTTTCAGTCGCCTGTCGACCCGTTCCCTGAAGCGAGAACGGCGGGTCTTGGGGGGAGTCCGAAGGCCCTCTTAGGCGTAACCACCGCTCGTGGCTCGCTATCCTGCCGCAGCCCTTGTCTGCTGGCTGGACGATTGCTTACGGGACATGACCCTTACTGGTTCACGAATGTGGTTACCACCTTTCGTCTGGTGTATAATTTCTGTATCTTCCCTTGCCTTCTTTCCCTATTCATTGACAGACTCAAAATTATACTGGAACTGCGAATCATTATGAGCTTCCCAGATACGTCACGTCGTTGGCCTGGATCTGCGCTTGATTGCCGCTATTTACAAGGTGCGTCTCAATTTGTTCTATTGTTGTGGAAATTTTTATTTCCGTTGCCATGAACGATCTCCGATGCCCTCATTGAGGATATTGTGCTAAGGGATCCCCACGTGGCACACATTACTGCTGTACAAGCTGGCGAGGTTTAGCTGCTGGTCGGAGTGGATGCATCCCCAGTGGGTGTACCCTCGAGGATTCACTGGCTGACTACCTCTCTACAATCACCATTAGTTGCAGGCTCAGTTGTGATTGGTCACGTATCTGTGATTGGTACATGACTTAGACGTCCTCATCTCCTCTGGTTCTTGCTTGCAGGCTCTTGGCTCATGATGCGGGGTATGTGACTCTCAAGGCTTACCTGCTGTCTATCAGTGTGGTGTGGCGTCACGGGGTGGAATCTCTGCCTTGTCTATTCAAACAGGCGATAAACACATACATAACGAGCAATCCGCCAGTGTTGTATTAAAACGACATTTCAATGGAAGTTCAAATCCCTTGTGGACAGGTATTACAAGCTTGTTCTGCTTCTTGGTTGTATTGTACACTTCTGTGGAAATAAAAGATAAACAAGACAGGCACAAATAATTAAGATTCTTGGTGCAATACTGATCACATTGGACAAACACTCGTTTCAGAACGGCAGACAGAAATACAAGCAGAGAGAAAAGTGTTCCTGATCCTTACAGGACATGTGGTTGTGGTACGGTACAGCTTTCAGTACGAGAAAGAAGTATCAACTCCCAGCGGTACTGTCCTCCTCACCACTCGCCAGTGTTGAGAGCAACGTACCCCGCATGCACCCGCCCATTCGTGTCCCTCAAATTGTTAATCAGTCGGTTCCAGTTCGATCCTAGCGGCCCAACAAAGAAATCACACTCGGAAGCGATGAGCAGATTCGCAAAGCTGACCCCCACCAGCTGCTCCAGCCCCGCTGCTCTCTCATATTCTAGCATCTGGGTTGATCCGAGCTGGCGCTTGTTCTTACTGTACATGAAAGTCCAATCGCTGTAGCTGTCTAACTCGTCAATTACTGACTGTGAGGAGCAAGGGAGGGAGGGATGAGTGTGAGTGGAGGGAAGGGCAACAGATAGGGAAAACATCAGGATAGGGCAGGAGGGGGAACTGATGTAAGAAGAGAACAGCAGAGGGGCGGCTAGAAAGCTCATCCCCACCAGCTGCGCCCGCCCTCCTGTCTTCTCATACTCGAGCATCTGTGTGCATGGCTGAGACTTGAGTAGGATTTCCCCTCGGGTATGAGGAGACCCCCGAGGGGAAGTCTTTTGAGGCGCCTCAAAAGGATTTCCCCTCGAGTATGAGGAGACACCCGAGGGGAAGTCTTTTGAGGCGCCTCAAAAGGATTTCCCCTCGGGTATGAGGAGACACCCGAGGGGAAGTCCTAGAGGGTACACTCACCTGCATCTCAGTGCTGAGCCCCACATAATGAACATCCGGCACTCGGAGTCTCAGTCGTTGCACGTGCAGCATGTACGCCCTGAAACTGCTCATACCTGCGTGCACCTTTTTGTACCGCTCATCCACGCTCTCTCCCCCCTCACCTGCATCTCTGTGCTGAGCCACACATAATGAACGTCCGGCACCCTGAGTCTCAGCCGTTGCACGTGCAGTATGTACGCTCGGAACGAGCTTAGACGCATCTCCTTTTCCTTGTCCCCCTGCCTCACATGCACGCTCACCACCGGCCGTGGCATATACACCTCCCCGCCCACTCGCCTGTACACCTGCTCCTCCTCCTCCCCCTCTTCTCCCTCTTTATCATAACCCTCTTTTCCCCCAGCCTCGTTGTTATCGTCATCTTTAGGGGTGCAACCAGCGAACCCGATAGAAGGCCATGTGCTTGGAGCGAGGCTGCTTGTATCAAGGAAGGAGATGGACTGCAGAGAAGCTGCTTCCTCCGTGACATTGATAGCCATGCTGGCAACTGCTGCGGCTGACGTGGATCCTACTGTTGCTGATGTGGAGGCTACTGCTGTTGCTGTCGTGGATTCTGCTGCTGCTGCTTCTGCTGCCGCAGCTTCGCTCTGTGCGATTCCAGAATCATTCATTTTCGCTGCATTCGCATTACTATCACCAACAGCAGCAGCGGCAGCACCGAGAGAGTCAAGGATCCTCTTTTGAGCCGCTCTTGACTCCTCAATCCGCACTGCCACGTGGAGCCCATACGCCTGCTGCCGCACCCTGTTGCTGACGTGGCACAGGTACGCCGACGGCCACCTCAGCATGAAGCGAAGCGACTGTGCTCGCCACCAATGCACCTGAAGGTTTTGGGGAACGGGGGTGAAGGGGAGGACGGGGTAAAGGGTAGAAAGGGGTATGAGCAGCAGCAAGGGAACAGCCGCAGTATTACCATCACCATCACCAGCGCCAGTAGCAGCATCGGCATGAAATGAAGCGCAGCGGCCGCGCTCACCATCAATGCACCTGGCAATGGGGCCGGAAGGACGATAAGGGAGGGAGAAAAAGTGATGAGGAAAAAGGTTGGGAAGGGGTATCAGCTATGGTGGCAGCAGTGGTGGCAGCAATACCTGTCACTCCCATACCTGCCACTCCCGTGCCTGCCACTTCCGTACCTGCCACTCCCATACCTCCCACTCCCGTACCTGCTGCAGCCTCGGCACCGAGGCCTTCACGCGCCCCCTCACTTCAATGCTGTTGCGCCGCCTCAGGTACGCCGACCCCCACAACCTGCCAGGCAGAGGTTGACGTGGCAGATAGATGTTGACGTGGCAGGTGGTGATGACGTGGCGGGTGACGATATGGCATGTAGGGAGATGTTGCCCGTACATGTTTATGAGCACAGCGGGTGAAAAAACCTTTCTACCAAAACCAGTAACGTAAAACAGCAAGTAACGATGTTAAGCAGCTACTATGCATACCATACTGTATACAAATATATATACGAGCATTGTGTTAAGGAGCTACAGTAGATACCAGATACTGTACATATCTCACCTGGCAGCGCCAGCTTCGTATTTCAGGTGCAGGTAGTTCCCACAGAACCTCACGATGGGACGATCCGAACCCAATAAGGCCCGCACGTTGCTGTGATCCGCGCACGCCCCCTCCCACTCTCTTCCTTTTTCCCCATCCGCCCCATCCACTTTCCCTTCCGCTGCTTCCCCCTCTCCCTCTCCCATAGTTTGAACCCTACTCCCCACGCCGCCTCCAGCCTCCACTCCTCCCCCCATCGCCTCCCTCACTCGCTCCTCACAGCTCTTAGCAACCAAGGGGAAGAAATAGCAGTCAAACGAGTTTAAGTTCCCAGCCTCTAGACACTCGGAATGGTTGGCTCTTATGTAAGTGCCGGGCGTGGGAACGAGCGTGCGGTTGTGAGTCAGCGCAAGGCTTAAGTAAGCGCTCACGATGCTTAGCTGAGAGCCAATCCCGTGCTTCCTCTTCGGCCAATCCACGACGAAGAGCCGCCGCCCGGAGCAGGCTGACGTGGAGGCGACTGGGTTTGATTCAGACTGAAATGAAGATGCTGCAGCTGCTGAGGTGGCAGCTGATGAGGTGGCAGCTGATGAGGTGGCAGCTGATGAGGTGGCAGCTGCTGACTTGGCAGCTGAAGGTGATTCGTTTGGGAACTGGTGTCGCCAGATGTCGGCCTGTGCTTGGCGGGTCGCTGCCAGGTTGGCAGCATCTGAGCCCCGCACCTGAGAAAAACGAGGGTGACAATAACGGGAATGGGAATAACGAGGCGATGCTGGGGGTGAGCTGAGGGTGAGGGGGCGGAGAGAAGGAGGCGGAAAGAAGGCAAGTAGGGTACCTGGAATCCACCCACAGGGGCTGCCGGAACCGGCATCCGCCCCGTGCTCGGCCCAATACCCACCCACAGGGGCTGCCGGAACCGGCATCCGCCCCCTGCTCGCCCCAATACCCACCCACAGGGGCTGCCGGAACCGGCATCCGCCCCGTGCTCGCCCCAATACCCACCCACAGGGGCTGCCGGAACCGGCATCCGCCCCGTGCTCGCCCCAATACCCACCCACAGGGGCTGCCGGAACCGGCATCCGCCCCGTGCTCGCCCCAATACCCACCCACAGGGGCTGCCGGAACCGGCATCCGCCCCGTGCTCGCCCCAATACCCACCCACAGGGGCTGCCGGAACCGGCATCCGCCCCGTGCTCGCCCCAATACCCACCCACAGGGGCTGCCGGAACCGGCATCCGCCCCGTGCTCGCCCCAATACCCACCCACAGGGGCTTCCGGAACCGGCATCCGCCCCGTGCTCGCCCCAATACCCACCCACAGGGGCTGCCGGAACCCCCACCACCTTACTTTCCCCCGCCCCACGATTCTTCCTGCCTCTCCCCCGATTCCCCCTCCGCCCAATACCCACCCACGGGGGTTGCGGGTACCGGCACCTGCCCCGCGCGCGCGTCCACCGCGGCGGCTCCCCGTTGGGTCCGCGCATCTCTTTTGTACGGCGCTGTGCCGTGCGCGTCGCGCAGTCCTCAAGGTGCGGCGGGGGGGGAACGTTCGGGGGGAGGGCGATGCGCGACGGGGGAAGGACGGAGCCCGCTGCCAGACCGTAAGCGTCGGTCCATGCCTAGGGGAAATTGAGAAGGGGAAAAGAGGGAAGGGGGAAGGAGGAAAAGGGAGGGGCGGGAAGGGACGACCGGGTAGCTTAAACGAGGCGCATCGGGGGAAGGACGAAGCCCACCGCCAGACCGTAAGCGTCGGTCCACGCCTGGGGGAAAGGAGGAAGAGGGGGGAGGGGGGAGGGGGGGGGAGGGGCGACTGGGATATTGAAGAAGGCTCACTGGCCAAACTGTGAGCACCTGTCCATGCCTGTTTTAGCAGCGATGCGGGAGTGAAGGGCGAAATAATCCTGTTTTAGCAGTTACTAGTTTGGAGTGTGGTGAAGGCTAGATGATCACAAATTTGTAAACGTGTCTTTTGGGCCGATTCGAAAGTCGTCTCTTTGTTCTGTCACCTCCCTGAGAGTAACGTATCAGTCAACGGATTTGGCGTGTCGGCCGAAGAACGTTAAAATAAACTTGTTCAGTCCCGATACATTGCAAGAGCGAGCGAGAGCGTGTCACGTTGTACCCGATATAGAGCGAGCGCCCGCTCAAGGCTGATTCCGCCGCCCCGCCCGTCCCCCGCTTTATGCCGATGGCTCTGGAGTTGCGCCGAGTCGCCCCACAGTCTTATGCCACGTGGCGCCGCCACCGCTTTTTGCCAAAGATTCAGCGCCGAGAAGATAAAAAGGACTGCAAAGAATCTATGCCAAATCGTGTATCGCCAAAACGGTACATGATTCGCTGATGAAGCTTGGATCATGATGGCTCGCGACCTTCCCGCCAGAATCTCTGGCAACGAATACGATCACGGTCAATCACATTCACCAACCATCTCGTGTAAGATAACAGCGAGGTGGTTACCACGAGAAAACAGGAATTCGATGTGACTGGCGAGTTTCCACGAGCAAAAGAACAGGCATTCTGTTCCACTCCTACAAGTCCGAACCTGAACCATGCCACCTCCAGCCCTGCCCATGAATGTCTCGCGTCGCGTGTTTCAGTTTCTTTCGATTCTGTTTAGGGAAAAGGAATGTTGCGAAAGTAGTGACGAGATTGACGAACCGGAACACAAGCCTCACGAAAAAATTGACGAACTACAACGAGCGATTTTCTGTTACCTTAGTCCCGCCTAGTTCGTTCCGCCTGTCACACCTGTGGCTCCGCCTGCCACCACCAGCCCGCATCGCGTGCCTGACATTCTGTCACATTTCGCCCCCGAGTTTCGCAGCAACCAGAGCTTCTGGTTGCCCACACCATGACAGCTCTGCGCCAATAACGAAGCATACACTTTGGGGAATTCATAAGCGGCATAAATATCTTGTTTCTCGAATTAGCAAATGAAGTGAAGTGGAGGGATGGGTGGGAGACAGGCCTCTGGATAGGATTTGAGTTGGTCTTTCCCATAAGGCCAACATCCTAGTTTCACTCTTTCAATCAGGGTACAAATTCAGAACACACTTATAAATCAGGGTGGAACTTTAAATAAGTTGTCCATGATTTTTTTACAAGTTAGTTAACTCGTGTTATGGTGTCCAGTTGTGTAGGAGTGATAATTTGTAGTGAGTACGTGGGTTCAAAACTCGCCGCAGGCGCTCGCCTATACTCTTTTCGCGTGGAATTCTGACAGACTCGGTAAGAACTAGATCAGAACCGTCAGTGTATCTACATGGAGTTGTTCAACAGCACTCTGAAATATCAGTGTCGTAAATCTATACACTTTTTCTTGTAAGGGTCAATGGAAAAGCCACTCTGGTAAAAAAGGGTGCATAAGAAAACCCACCCTTATAGTGTCATAAGGGTGAATCACCCTTATATCAAGAGGCCTGGTGGGAGATGCTGAAATCTGTAGTGCATGACTGTGGTGTCTATCATTGCAGAATAACCTTTGAAAGATAATGCATAGATTCGACCATATCAATTGGACTGCCCGGGGACACCAACAACCTGGTTCTTCCTCATCTCCCAATACCGCCACCTTATCTTATCCACCTTTTGCAGCTTCTCACACAATGCTACAGCTGCATCCGTGCATGAGATAGCAGCACTATCACCAGCACCATCCTGGCTCAACCCTAACACCTTACCCACTTTATCAGACATGCAACCCCGACCAAGCACTGACAGCAGAGTCGCTAACGCATGAACACACTCCGGCTCACTTGCCAGCACATCCATGCAGATTCCAAGAAGCCTCAGATCCCCTTCCTTACCCACACCTTCTGCTTCTTTTTCCAGCAGGCGAATCAGCCCTTGGAGATACCGCCAAGGGCTCTCATTGGACGGAGCAAGCCAGATGGCGGTCACTGCAAACGTCACCTCATCCTCCACTGTTACTGGTGTAACCCTAATTTCGGAATCCTTCTCCTGATTGGCTCCTCCTCCCACATGTTCTGCTCCCTGCTTCTGCTTCGCTATAAGATGCTCCAGTACAAACATTCTGTGGTTCCATGCTGAGTTGTTGCGCACATCATCATCCAACAGCTTCTCACAGAACGTCAGCTCACCATGCCACGTGTCAAATTCCCTCGCCACCCACTGCCTGTGACACCACGCGTGGTAGTTCTTTGAATCTCCCCGCAACGCCTCCTCACAGAAGCGGAATTCCTCCTGCGCGACCTCAGTTATCGACCGTAACGGAACTTGCTGTAACGGGGACGGTGAGTTTGAAACGCATTCTTGCTCCTGCTGCTGCTGCTGCTGCTGCTGCTGGTGCTGTTCCATCTGTTCCTGGCGTCTGGTAACCCTATCTTTGCGAAGAGAAGCCAACCACCGGCGATGGTGCCACACCTGATAATTTTTGGGATTCGATAGAGTCACATTTTCGGCGTAAAGTACCTCATCCTGAACCAGCCAATCCCCTTCATCCCCTCGATTCTCATCCGCTGACGTGGACGAGGGCTTCGATGTCGTGGCCTCCGGTTCCGCTAACGACAGCAGATGCGTGAGAACGTCTCGACGGAGCTGCCAGGCGGTGTAGCTAGCGGCGTTGACGGAGATAACGCGCTCCGTCAAGCGCAAGACGCGCGCGCTGCGCTCGCCGGACGCGAGAACGGCGCGCATGAAGCCCATGGCGTCGTCGAACTCGCGCGAATACGCGATCGGCACGACGGGATCCGGACCGTCGTCCTGCGGTAATGGCTCCACGTCAGCCCAGTCGTCGCTGTCCCTCAGAAGCTCCATGTCGATTCGAATCTCGATTTCTCAGTTATTGATTCGCGAATCGCGACACGGCTCGATCGAGTGGGGTTAAAGCGCGCCTAACCAGCGGGACCGGCAATCAAACACTCGCGAAAGTAGAATAACGGACGTAGGCCTCGGTCTTCTTAGACGACAGAAACATGGATGTCTAAGAAGATACAAGCCAGCTGGCTTGTCTTGCTTGGTGTGCAGGGTACAGTCGATGCTCAGCCTATCATAAAACATTTGCTTCCCACAATGAAAAATTTAGTCACTCGCGAACGTTTTGCCCGTGAGTGACTAAATTGACCATCGTGCCGATTTCGGGGTACAGTCACCAATTGCGGAAGGAAAACATCTACAGTTCATAAACAACAACGGTTGCCTGTCATAAGAAAAGTTTACCTGGTTATGAAAGTAAAGCCCTTGACTCAATTCACAATGCAATTTCATATTACAGTCACATTTTTGCCCGTGGCGACAAGGGCGAACGTTGCGAACTGCGCAAAACACGTTTCACTCACATGCCGCCCGCCTACCTGGTGTTCTTGAACTGAGCACCGACTGTAATATCGGTTTCTACCCAGGCGCTTTGTTGGATGTATATTGTACCTCGTACGCGCTACGAACAGTGTTACAAAGAAGAGTCGTTTCTTACAACAACTAATTCAGCAGCCAAATCACCACAGGAATGCCTTTATTCTGAATGAAGGCACATGGCTAGACACCATTACAAAACTGAGCGTCACCACTAACTTTCCGAATTAATTAAGCATATGAATAGCACAGAAACCTGCTCAACAAGCTGAGCAGATGATACCCTTATGGAGGACACTAATCCAGACAGTACAATCCAATCAGCCGATTCATAATGCTATGAATACACGTACTCTCCCACACAGTCTGAAGGGACTCTTCCTTCCTTTCCACCAAAACAAACACAGCTGAAGCCTTCTTTCTTGAAACATCAGCTCCTCGAAAGTTCCTCATCCATCAGGGATAAAAGGCTTCTCGAGTTTCAGTCAACAAAGCTACTCTTTTGATATCAACATGTGATTCCTCCCCTGTAGCATGGCGTCTCCTCCTCCTCACGTCCCGTCACTTGAACCTGCCACAGTTGCCGGAGGGAATCGCTTGCTCCTTCCCTCTCAGCTTTAGCAAGCCATCAACCTTGTGAAGGGTCCGCCACGTGCCCCGCCAGGTGCATCTGACTGTCACCATGAGTCTCGGCATGCTGGGTCCTCCTCCTCCTCACACCCGCCCACTTGGGACTCCCACTGTCACCTGTGGGACTGCCTAGCTCCTCCCCTCTCCCCATTTCCCTCCTCTCTCCCCTCTCTCTCCTCTCTATCCTCTCTCCAGCCTCAGCCCCCTCTCTACCACCCTCAGCCCTACTCACTCCCTCTCTACCGCCCTCAACCGCACTCAAACCTTGTTCACCAACCTCAACCTCTCTTACTCCCCCCCCCACTTGCACACCCTGCCCACTCACCATCAATCTTCTCCTCGTCCCAAACTCCTCTCCTCCTTCCCCACCTCCTCCTCCCACCCCCCCCACCACCACCTCTTCCTACCTCTCCCCCTCCTCCCCTCCTCCGCCTCTCTCCCCCCCCACCTCCTCCTCCTATCCGTCTCCTTTTTCCTCCTTCCCCTCGTTTCCCTCTTGCTCCTCTTCCCCCTCGCCCCCTGCCCTCGTCCTCACTGGAGAAGATCCAATCCTCCCCATCATTCGCGTTCACCAGGTCTCTATAATTCCGCTCCCTCCTCTTCCTGCCGCTGCGCCTCACTCCTGTGGGCGTCCCTTCATCTGCTGATGCATCAGCATCAGCAGCAGCTGCTGGAGCAGGTGCAAAACCTGCACTAGCACGAACAGGTGAAGCAGCAGCAGGAACAGCAGTAGCAGCAGCAGCAGCAGCAGCAGTAGCAGCAGCAGCAGCTACTGCGTCTGGAGCTGCAGCAGCAGCCGCCTCACCAACCCCGCTTCTTCTTTTCCTCGAACCCGAACCCGAAGGAGGGGAGGAAACAACTGAACGTGCCGCTTCTCCTCCCTCCCACCTCCCATTCTCACCCTCCTGCTGTTGCCTACCCAGTCCCACCCTTCCTCTCCCTTCCGTCTTCCGTCCTCCTTCTGCCTTCCTCCTCCCTTCTTCCCCACTCTTTCTTTCACCCTTGCGCTTCCCTGCCTCCCCTCCTTTCCGCACACTCCTCTGTGTTCCTCTGCTCCGTGCACCTTGTGACCCCTTTTTGCTCTTCCTTTTCTTGCCTTGAGATCCCACCACATACTCCTCTTCTTCCTCCTCTTCCTCCTCTTCCTCCTCCTCTTCCTCTTCCTCTTCACCCTCCTCCTCTTCCTCCACCACCCCGTTTTCCTCCTCTTTCTTTCCAGTCCCCCCTTCTCTCTCCTCTCCTTCTACTAGCCTCGCAGTATGCTCCTTCACCCCAGGTACCTTCTCCTTCTCTATACCAGAAGAAACAACAACACTCTTGACATGACTTTTGTCCAATTTTCCTCCCTTTTCATCCTTCCCTCTCTTCTCCTTTGCCCTTACCCTCTCGTGTCCTCTCCCCTTCTCGTCTGGTACCCTCCCTGCCATCCCTATTTCCCTCCTCTCTCTCTCTACCCTCTCCTCCTCTTCCTCATAATACACCACCTCTCCCTCCACATCCCCAATGCTGTCCTCGTTATTAGCATCACCCGTACCAGCATTAGCTTCAGGAGCACCATTAGCAGCAGCACCGTCAGCACCACCATTAGCAGCAGCGGTAGCAGCACCACCACCATCCCCACTGCTAGCACCAGTACCGCCACCATCACTTTTACCACCACCAGCACTTAGGCCACCACCAGCACTGGTTTCCCTACTCTCAACACCATTGGCCTCAATATTCGCACCCTCAACTTCCACACCCTTTGATTTCCCTGTTTCTCCTCTCCTCTTTGCTCTAGAACCGATTTGCTCACCCCTCTTGTCACCGGTTGTTAATTCCTGCCCTGCCACTTCTTTCACCTGCCCTTCCTCTGCTTTCACCTGCCCAGGCTCTCCTTTCCCCTGCCCGTTCCCTTCCTCCATACCTCCTTCCCCAACCCCTTCCTCCCGCCTCTCCTCCTCCCCTTCCTCCTCCAAGATATCAACATAGCTCCGCTTTTTCTTCGGTCTGTGCCTGATAAGCAGCAATGGGAAGGAGAGGGAGATGAAGGGGTTGAAACGGAGTAGACTTTTGAGGCGCCTCAAGGCTCCGCTTTTTCTTTGGTCGGTACCTGATAAGCACCAATGGGACGGAGTGGAAAGGGATGAGAGGACGTAAGATATCAGCGTAACTCTGCCTAACCTTCCGCCAGTGCTTGGCAGGCAGCAGCAATGGAAAGGAGCGGGAGTGAAACGAGGTAAAACAACTCAAACTCGACCGCGTTGCATCGCATCAGGCATCTCTTTCTCCCCGTCCTCCTCCAAAAATTCGGCACAGTTCCGCCTTTTCTTGAGCCGGCGCCTGATAGGCAGCAATGGGAGGAGTGGGAAGAGATGAAAGGGCGCAGAAGGGTGTTGAAAGGTTTGTGAAAAGGAATTAAAAGACACCCACCTGAGCAACCGCAAGGGCTGGATATCCGAGGCCAACCCAGGCTTCACTCTGTCACACTTGCCACTCTCCACTCCTCTGTTTGCTGTACGCACTCCTTCAAATCTGAGGGGCAGCACGTGAGGAGAGAGGAGAGCCCACCTGAGCAACCGCAAGGGCAGGATATCGGAGGCCAACCCAGCCTTCACTCTGTCAGACCTGTCCCGCTCCCCCCCTCCTCGCCCGTTCGCTGCATGCACTCCTTCAGCCTTCCCCTCCTTCCCCTCTTTCTTCTCTTTCTTCTCCTTCTTTCCCTTCTTCTCCTTCTTCTCCCTCCCCTCCCTCCCCTCTCTCCCCTCCTTCCTTCGCAAACTTCCACGGGTATCCCGCTTCACCCCTCCCAATCCCTTCCTACTCCCTTCCTCCTCCCCTGCCTCTGCCTCCTCCTCCTCTGCGCTCCAATCCTCTTCCCCACTCTTCCATCCATCCTCCACGCCCCTCCCCTCCTCCCCACTCTCCTCCTCCCCACTCCCCTCTTCTTTAAACGACACACCATCAGGACGCCTCCCTCCCCACCTAGTCCTTGCACTCACTCTACCATCCCCCTTCACTCCACCATCCCCCCTCACTCCACCATCCCCCCTCACTCCACCATCCCCCCTCACTCCACCATTCCCCCTCACTCCACCACCCCCTTCCTGCATCCCCTCATTCCCACCCAATTCCCCTCCCACCACGCCACCGCCTGTTCTCCTGAGCCTTCTCCTTCCATCCCCTTCCTCTGCCACTAAGCCAGTCACAACGGATGGCTTTTGAGTCGACTCAAAAGCCACCAAGCCAGCGCCTTTTCTCCTGAGCCTTCTCTTTCCATCCCCTTCCTCTGCCTCTAATCCACTTTCATCTGCTGCCCTCCTCAATACAGCTTCAGTTTTTCTTCTCTTCTCCTTCCTTCTTCTCCCCCCACCCTCATCCACTCCCCCATCCACTCCCCCATCCGCTCCCTCCTCCATTTGTTCCCTCACGCTCGTCCCCAATCTCACTCCCTTCCCTCCGCCCGTCGCTTCTCCCTTCCTCGGCTCTCTTTGACCATCCTCGTTATAAGCGTCTTCATCACCACCACCATCCTCTTCCTGCTTCTTCTTCTCAAGCCCATACTCTTCCTCCCTCTCCCCTTCGTCCTCACCCCCCTCCTCTGCCTCCTCCGCCGTCCTTTCTCCCCTCTCTTCGTAACTCTCCACCTTCTTTCCCTCACTTTCCGCTTCTTCCCTTTCCCCTTCCTCTTGGCCCCCCCCTTCGCCCTCATCTTTCCCCAACACTCCATCCTCGTTATAATCACCCACATAGCCTCCTTTTCGCCGCTTCCTTCCCTCCCCTCCCGATCCCTTCAACCACTCATCCAATGCCCCATCCTCCTCTCGCCGTCCCTCCCTCAGTTGTCTCTTCCTTAG